CTTCTGGGCCCAAATTGAATGGTTTTTCAGCTTCTTAAAGATCTTTTTAAAGTACAGTATAGAGGACACAGTTTATTCACTCATTCACAGAAGGTGAAGTCCCGACTCCACTGAATGCTGCAGTGGGCCCTACAAAGTCAGAGGGCAGAAAAAAGACTCCATACCTAGTCTAAAGGTGCTCGGCTTACTGACAAGCCAAGTTACCCCAGAGAAGTATAAACTGCGGGACATGCTGGGAAGACAAAGTACGGGGCGCCAAGAGGACATGTAGTGGGCACTGTGATCCAGCCTGGAGGCCCTCAGAGGACCTTCTGAGGACACAGCAGGCAGGCAGGGGTCTGAGTGGGGCCATGCACAAGTCTGTAGGAAGAGTGCTGCAGAAAAGCAGAGCACTGGCCAGCACCTTCCGGGCCTTCACCTTCACACGACTGCTCTTTTCTTTCAGGGTAACAAGCTATGCTACGGACATGGCACAAGGCAAGTGGTTCTAAATTCTAGGGTAGGGTGGGCAGTAAGTATGGTCGGTCTCCCAAATCTCTGAGCACCCCACATCACCCAGGCACAGTCTTAGCTGTCTGATCGGAGCCATGCAAGGCTTTGTTGAAATGAATGTTGTCTGGTTTTTTTTTTTTTTTTTTGGAGATGGGGTCTAGCTCTGCATGCAGGTCAAGCTGGCCTTGAACTATATAGCCCAGGCTGGCTTCAAATTTGAGGTGATCCGCCTGCCTCAGCCTCAGAGTGCTGGGACTACAGGTTTGTGCCACCACACCCGGCTAGTGTCAGTGTTAATGCTCAAATTATTTTCTGTACAGCCAAATAAATTCACAAAACTACATCTTACACAAGGAACCCCATTCTGAACTTCAATTGTAAAAGGACATTCATCTTCCCCACAGGGGTGCACAGTGGGACTCATGGCAAAATGCTGGGGGGAATTCTGGTACTGTGACCAAAGGCGGAAGAAGTACCTTTTTCTCTTTAATTTACAAAGTAGGGATTGAACCCAGGGCCTTTGCACTGAGCTACATGCTCAGCCCATTTTTATTTTTTTGAGATAAGGTCTTGGTAAATTGCCAAGCTGGGCTCAAACTCAGGATCTTCCTGCCTCAGCCCCCAGGTGCTGGGATTCAGGCCTGCACCACCTATTCTGGTGGAATCAGAATCTTGATTGAAGCACTTCTTTAGATCTGGTAGTGCTTCATTTTCCTCACAAAGAGAAAAACCTGTGACAGGTTTACTGGGCTGCGGTGCTGCACACACCAGTGTTGGCAAGACTTTCAGAACTTTCAGAAGTAACAACCAGCCCTCGGCAGACATGCAGTTGGTTCGCTGCCACTGGCAGGTACTGTACCCTGCAGCCCGACCCCCAAACCCCAAACGAGCCAAAAGGGCCAAGGCGAGACTCGCGGGGGAGCCGGCAGACCACTTTGCTCCACTCCCACAGGACCCTTGGGAAAGACCCTTTTACACACATACACTTCAGCTGAATCTAAATTTCATCCACATTAGAGCTTCTAAGTGAGCTAACTATTGTAAAACTACATGCCTTGAAGAAAATAATGAAAACCAAACCAAAAAAAAAAAGTCAATATAACCAGGGCTGGGGATGTAACTCAGAGGTGCCGCTGCCTGTCTCCCAAGTGCAAGAACCCGAGTTTGATCCCCAGGACCAAAAAAAAGTCAATATAACCAAAAAAGACTACTAACCTGTGGGAAGCCAGCCATGGCCCACTGGCTTTTTGAAAGACAACATTTGTTCCTTTTTAAGGACTGCACGTGTTAAACTTGTTTTGACCCTGCTCGCTGGGACCGCTGTGCAGAGTGCGAGCGTCCCGGGCCGCGTGGACCAGGTGTTGAGGCCCGTGTGAACTCTCGTTCCCGTGGAGCGGGTGTTGAGGTTACTATGGTGATCCTAGCCCATAATAGTTCGGCCTTTCTCTTTAAAAGGCCGGTGCTTGCCGGCAATAAACGTCGCCTTGATCAGACTCTTGTCTTGGCGTCCTTCCTTTCTCTCTGCCCCATCTCCACCCCGCTGCTCTTTCAGGTTTGAGGCACTGCGGGACAGTGCTCTGCGTCGCCGGTTCGCGACACTAACCCTCCAAATTTTAGTTTTATAAATAATTCGCTATTTTAAAATCAGGTCATAAAAATAGTCACTTATACCCAGAAATGACAATTACGATCTCATTTTTGGAAATTACAATGCTTATTAGATTTAGGTGTTGGCCACATAATGCCAGCTTATCTATAAAATACTACCCCATGAAAATGAAATTTTACCAAAAAATTTTAAAGTGCTCAAATTGTGCAGGTAAAGGCAATTTACATAGTTCAGATTTCTCTTCTTTGAAAGAATTTCTTGATGTGGTTTTGAAAAGCTATTAGTTTTACTCTTCAGTGAACAGGGTCTTGCTAAAAGAGAACACTACTATGAATACTTCCAGGTGACTGACCTAGGTTTTTGTCATGGTTGTTGTTTGGCTTGCTTGTTTTTCGAGAAGGGTCTCCCTGTATAGTTCAGGCTGATCTTGAACTCACTATGTAGCTCAGGGTAGCCTGAATTCCCAGCAATTTTCCTGCCTCAGCCTCCAGAATGCTGGGATCACAGGTGTGTGCCACCATGTCCTGCAAGTGACCTTTTTGATTGATGCAAACTAGGACTATCAGATCCAAATGAGGTACGCCATGAGAATACAGTGATCCGTGACTTACAACTCGATCAGTTCCCGAGGGCTGGTAACTAAATCAGTACAGCTGAGATCTGGGCCTTTACCTAGGTACACAACTATAGATAACAAGAAACAGATGAATCTTCCATTAACCTCACTAACCAAAGTTGCTCATATGTCAGGGCAGTTGTAACTTGAGGGTCCATTGTATCTCAGAAGTTTTCTGGCACACAGCTGTGAATCCAGCACTGTAGGAGGCTGAGTCAGGAGGACTACAAACTCAAGTCCAACCTAGGTAACTTAGGGAGACCTTGTCTCAAAAAAAAAAAAAAAAAAAAAAAACCTAGGAATGTAGTTCAGTGAGAGGGCCCTAGGTTCAATCCTCCATAGAAAAAGAGGAAAGAAAAAAGGAAAGGAAGAAAAGGAACCTTTCAGGGATAGGGGTGTAGTTTAGTAGTTCAAGCCTTGGGTTCAATCTCCAGCATCACATATGAGGCAGGGTCTCACACCATGTATGTAGCCCAGGCTGGCCTGGAACTCTCAACAATCCTCCTGCCTCAGCCTTGTCTGTTCAGATTGCAGGGGTGCGCCACCAGACCCAGCTTAAAAATAAATCTTACTGTTTGCGCTTGTAACTGAATTTAGTTTTTAACCACATTGTGGTTTATGTAAATATAAATGCTAAAACTGATTTCTGAGGGGAAAAAATAAAACCTGATCTTTTCAGTCCTAGCCTAAAAGTCAAGATGGCAGCTTTCCATTTGAGTTACTCTTAATGCTTTTTTTTGGGGGGGGGAGTATTGAACCAGGTACCTAAGCATGCTACCACTGAGCTACACTCCCAGTCCTTTTTACTTTTTATTTTGAGTCAGGGTCTTGCTAAGGTGCCCAAGCTAGCCTTGAACTTGGGATCCTCCTGCCTTGGCCTCCAGGGTTGTTGGCACGCCCCACTGTACCTAGTGTAATGTTTGTTTTAGCTACATTTTACATCTATTGAGTGTTTCAGAGCTTTAAAACCCACTACAGTTATTACATTATTGATTACATGTGCACTGCAATATTCCCTTTTTAAAGAAGTACAAATTATAGTTAAATAACTTATCCAAGGTCACCCAACAAATAAGTCTGTGACATAGCTGGGAGCAGCACTAAAATCACAGCTCCCAGGCAACGATTACATTTCCCCAATTCCAAAAAAGGAGGAAAAGTCAAGGGATTTCGTTTCAGGAACTTCTAACAACATGCCCCAAGTGTAAGTAGCAGCATACTTGTTCTAATAAAGGCGAAGGATTCACTTTGAATGAAAGAAACAACTCGCTACATTTTTAGCTACCTTTGACACAAGCAGAAACACTATACTGCATTTGAATATACGACATTCCAGAAGCTGCTCACTCTTCAACATGTACTTTATTTTCACACTAACTGAGCATTTATACATTAATCTGCCATCACCTTGCCCCATCCCGAGGTGCTAATTTCCTGTTTTCTAAGAGTAAAGTCAAAGACCGCCATCTCAAAAGTAGGCAGTTCTCACAACATAGTTACATCGCCAATGAAGGAAACGCTCCAATAAATTGCTACTTTTAAAGAAATATTTTAAAACATGATTACATGCTTCACAGAATTACTGTGAGGTCGCCCGGCCTGCCGAGGAGGAGGGCTCCTTCAAAGTAGCTTCTAAGGTACGTCCCTCCCTCTTTGGGACACAGCCTGACTTGTCAAACAAGATTCATCTGGGCACGCTCACGCAAAGCCGAGCCAAGCAGCTCAGGCCGCTGGAAACATTATTTCCACTTCCCAGCCCTAGTACTCAGCCCTCGAAGGATGCAAGGAAAAGGAGGACCCTCTTTCTCGTCTTTCGGCAGAATATTCCCTCCGCGGAGACAATGACAGCCTCCCCTTCCGCGGAGGATTTTGGAAATACAAAGTGCCTGCCCCAGAAGGAGAGGCTCAGAGGAAGTGTCAGTGTGGCAGCAGGTGGAGTGGCTCTGCGTGCCGAGCAGGTCCTTTCTGACCTAGTCTCGCTTCTCCACCTCCCAGCCCCGGGTCCGCCTTACGGACCTTTCTGAGCTACCTCGCACTCTGATCTCCAGCCCGGGACGAGGTCCCATCCGCCCGGGAGGCGAGGGAACCGCAGCAGACAAGCCGGCCACGCCGCCTCTT